TTTTTTGTGAAACTGTCGCGTATTCGTTTCGCGTTTCTACGATTTTATTCGCGTGAATGACATCAGTTTCCCGCGAACGAGGACGTGACAGAATTCTTTCGCCAGTTTCACGCGGTGAATACCGTTACGAGCGCAAGGATCGGTCGCTTCGCGGCGACGCCGATGCTCTCATATGGTTGCGTTTCGCGGTGTCAACGTTTTATTACACAACTTTTTGCTCGTTGCCTCATTTTTTCTATTCTATCGTATTATTTCACGTTGACGGTTTGAACTCGTCATCTGTTATCCAGACTCTTTTCTTCCCTGAATATTTTACATGGAACAGCGAAACGCGGATCGTAGTTTCACCTGAAACTTTGAGCGTCGTGCCTCGAGAAGCACGAAGCGAATCGCAAGAAATCGCGGTGAAAAAAAAAGAAAAAAAAAAAAAAAAATGAAACGACGCATGAAGAAGAAGAAGAAGCAAGACTCACCGATTGTTGTTTGAACGGGCGTCTCGACGTCGGCGGCCGACGACAACGCGACGACCCCGCCTATCAGGCAAAGTCCTGCGATCGCGCGCAGAAAACATCCTTCCTGGATACGCATCCTACCGCATTCTTCTGTCATACGGTCCCTCGGAAACACCAATGTCGCTGAAACACCAACCGTACACTCGCACTGTCTGATATATACTATGTATCACACGATTCGACGAACGTCCCGACGAAACGAGCAAAGATAGAGAGAACCGCGTGTGTCTCGCAGATTGTCAGTGAATGGAGAAGCGTGTGGCTTGCCGAGGGACCACGAAACGAAGTACGCACGAATCACCGGGTTCACTCGGTTCACTCGGTTCGTTTGCTGAGTCGGTTCGGTCGCGATCCGTGCCGAGGCCGGAGGTGAAGTGCACCGGTGAGCGGGATTTACCTCCTCCTTGGCCGGTGTTGGCGTTGTTGCCTCGCTTACCTTTCATTCCTACTCTCCGGCCAGCCGGAGAGAATTCTCCACGCTCACCTTGCTACAGGCCCGGCCACGCGATTCTACAGTCTGTTCCCGCTTAGCTGGACGATATATCGATGCCTTCGAATCGCCTTTCAACTGGCCACGCGTGCCTCCGACACGTCGGTATCGAAGGAAGCCACACACGCACACACGGCCTATTTCCCTTACTGTGTGTTTTGGTTGTGGCTTCCTTGGAGATCTCACCTCCGTGTGCGTGTGTGTGTGTGTGTACCGAGAAGTTCGTCCTTTTGAACGATATTCAACTGGTGTATTAATTAAACGCTGAATCGCGTAATTGCCCTCTCTTTCTCTTTTCGTACATATTATCTAGCCAAGCGCAATCGATGTAAGAACATGCGTGGCACGAATCGAAGGACAAACGTGGCGCGATGTCCCACGGCCGAAGCGGTGAAATCGAAAGTAAAGCGTTCGCTGTCTCGCGTATTTTCATCGTTGATCGATCGCCACCTCGCTGCTCGAACAAAATATCGCGCGATGCGTTGCGAGGCTGTAATTTTAGAAACAGTTTCACCTTGCAACAACGACGCGACGATACGATCAGAAACAATTGCGAACGTTCTTTCTCCTCCCCTCTCTCTCTCTCTTTTTTTTATTTTTCTTACGAACCAATTAACACACAATCGCGTCGAGCTACGGCGCAACGAGCACGCGCCTTGGAAATTATTAGCCGATGCAACGTAACAGTTCGTTACACGTACTTGGAATTCGTTTCGTCGGGACTCGTCGATTTTTCTACGCTATTCTCGCAAAACAGTCGTATTTTCTTTTTTTTTTTTTTACCGAAAATATGGCCAGCGCATTCATCGCTGGAACGCAATCAGCTCGAGATCATTTGAAACTGGGAGAGGACGTAATTTCAGCGTCGACCTCGTTTTCCGGAGTTCCTCCGGTTGCATCGGCAAGCTCGAGGTTCCTTCTTTGTTTGTTGAGACGTGCAGCAGATAGATTCTTACGAAATCAGGATGATTTGCAAACGATTCCCTCCAACCGGAAGCATTACGACCTCTGTTTTCTAGAAAACTTGCGAAAGAAATTTCCCTCCCCGGTGGTGCAGGACGGCGCGCGTCACTCTTCTTTTTATAGATTTGTTCCGAGTTCTTTGTTCCCTCGAGAGAAAGTGTCAGTGGGTCAGGATGGCGACACGTTAAAGGCGAAACAACGCGACGGAAAAGCAGGACCTACTTTTCGGCTTCAATGAGTCGTCCGTTGCTCGATTAACAAGGATCAAACGATCCTTTACAGGACTCGAGATGTGCCGAGTGGAGATTTCTGCTTTAAAATCAAGTACCGGATACACGAGTGACATCGTGACGATGGCGAGAAGATCGGAACGGAAATTCCTCGTAAATGAGTCACCCGGTAGACGAATCGAGCCCGGTCGAGGACGGTCTTTGACTAAGTTTGGTCGGAGAAATCTTTCTCGCGGGGAAAAGCGAGCGGATTCTAGCAAGACTCGTATACACGCGGCCTCACCTTCGTAACGATGGCTCGTGTTCGTGTTCGTGTCTTATGTCATGCAGTTGAACTAGATTCGAGCTACTCTAGCCAGGTGGTAGAAAATCGTTCTACATTATCTTACGCGATCTTTCGAGTTAATGTTTCAATGTCAGAATTATATCACGTACGTAACGTGAAGCTCGAGTTCATTAGTAATATCGAAAACGTAACCCTAAATATATATATCTGACGAATATTCTAAAAAATTCTTTGTCACGGAACTTTTACTTTTTAGACGATCGTAGAATTCGAAATCACGTTTGTATATTGTGTAATACATGTTGTCCAAAGTTGCTGGCAAAACGAGGAATTAGTCATCCCGGATCAAGCGACTATCGATTATTGCGCAGGATTGTCACTAGCATCGTAATGAATCTGATTTAATAATCAGTGATTATTCATAATAGAAATTTTCATTGAATGCTAATCACGCTTCGCCAATTGACACCTCTTGTATCATAGCGATAACGAAACTGTCTATTTATACTTTGTCTTGTAGATTACTTCGTGAAACTTAACGAGGGGAGACCGAGATTCGGTGAAAGCGTGCCGAATAATCTGCATGTACGCTTCCCGCTAATTTGCAAACTTTAAGGCGCATCAGTCAACTGTTTTCAGTTTGATTTAATCAGTTCCCTTTCTCATTATTTATTACTAATTGTACCGTCTGTGTACAACGCACGAACGCTTTCAGAAAACTAATCCTTTGTAATCTTTGTTCTTTTCGGTAGTTGCTTGTAATATTATTATTTAAAGAATTGAGAAATAAAAATAAGTACTTTGGAAGAAGACGGATAATAGGAGTAGATGTGCTACAAAAATAAGGAAAAACTGTTCTTTAGTTTTCTAGGTCATCAGGATCTAGTCTAAGTCTAAGAAGTGGAAATTTTTTGAACTAATAAAATAAGTGTTCTAAACTATCGTGATATCGGCGCAATTTCTGAAGATTCTTTGACGTCCATACAAATCCCTTGTGGTTTCATAAGTCCATCTGAAGACACAGTGTTTGCAAGAGATACGTGGTAGTTGGATTTCTATGTTGAAGGTCGTTTGAAAATTTGGTATTTGATACATGTAGCTTAGTAGATTATCGTAGTCACTTAGGATGATTGGGTATTTATTGAAACATTCCTCCGTTTCGAGGGAATTGGTTTGGTTCAGGGGACACACGTGGAACTTGAATGTTCCCAAATTGTTGGTAGTCAGTTTCACCTTTACCTTCATAGTGAAGTTGCTGAAACAACGTGAAAGTGTTAATAAACACAACTTTGAAAATATCTCGATTGATTTGCAAATCTAGATTTTACGTTCTGTGTTTACACATGCTTGAAAGTATTGTCGTTTCTGAATGTATTCTATTAAATATTATAACAAATACTTTTGATATTTTATATATATATATATATTCTAGCGAGGTGATGAACTTACGATTTCTTGACGATCACGCCGGTTCCATAAATACCACCGTTTTCATTTGGCCTGGGTCTGACTGCAGCGTAATCGTCACCGCATTCTCCACATTTTCCATGATTTTGGAAGAATTGAGTCTACGAGTAAACAAATCGACCAATTAACTTTTGTCTTCTACTTAGTCACTTTTCCATTGACACCTTTTCACTTCTTTTTAATATTTTTGTTAGACATATTGCAGCTGCCACGATATTTTGACATTTTGCTCGGCTGTTAAACTATATAATCGATAAAACAATATAATATCATTAAAGTCTATACAAGATCATGTCCAATACAAATCTATTTTTCTTAAATTTCAATGATTATGAAGCAGTTAATGGGATTCGTACATCTCCTCCGCAGGAAACATCATCGTCGTTGAAATTTTGTTCAACAGGGAATCCAAACCGCCAGGCACTGCTCCTACTAACAGGAGTAATCATCATGCCTTGCCCATGGATCTCCTGAAGGAACGTTCCGAGCAGGCAGATATTTAGTAAAAGTTTCACGAACGACATCTTCCACGCGCGTTCTTGTTCAATCAATAAACTAAGATTAGTTATTTTCCTTTGACTTCTTTTTATAGGATCATACTCACTAAATCATATCAGATTACATTAATGATGAACTGGCATGATTATCTTATCTGAATTGAAATTATTATCTTATCATGTCGAATCAATTCTGTCGAACATTTGTTTTCATCTTCCACATAATCTTTTGAAGGAATGGAAAAAGAAAATCGATAGAAAGTGTTTTTACGAGGAATATGAATTTGAAAAAATTCTATATTCGATAAATTTTAGAAACAAAAAGATTTAATTTGAATAACAAATAACGATCGAGAAAGTAATGAGAAATGTAAAACAAAATAAAATGTAAATGAAACGAATCGATTATATTTTCCATTTGATAAACACTGGTTGTTTATCGCTGGTAGTCACTTAATATTTTTTAATCCTCGATAGGTAAAAGTAAATCTTTCTATTGATTTGATTAGATAGAAAAAGCGAATAAGATACGTAAATGGTCAAGTATGTATATGTACGGAAGCTTTACGAATATATGTACATGTAAAATTTTTGTTATACGAATAATTATGTAAATTTCTTTTTTCCGTTTATCGAAATTTATTCGAGAACGATTTTATAATCAAGTTTTGTCACTGACTGGTAATTATTGATATTCTGATATTATATTGCGATATTAAAGATTGGTAACGTTTAAATTGATTGAAAATTTCTTGCAATAAAAACAATAAGTGTCTCAAAAATTCTTTTTATAATATTTCAATTACCCGCGCGATTTTAAGTGGAGGGGAAATTATGGACGCCATGACAATTATCAATTTGATGATCGATATTCAATAATATTTACCTTACATAACTTATATACACATACATATACGTATGTCAACTAAAGATAGAATAAATATGACATTATATGGATTTTCGTTCTAAAATACCGAAATTATTATTAAAATCCGAACATAAGACGACAAAGTTAGTAGTATTCTTTTTTTTGGTTATGAAACAAGCCATTTGGAACTCAAATTGGTTTTGTAAGACTTAAATTAATTTCGTTAAATTAATTCTTATTCAATAAATGAAAAAGTTAAAGAAAACAGTCATTTACCTTTTATTTCAAGTTGTGAAGAATATATTTTCGTACCAAATGCGCGGGATTGATATTAACTTGTCAGGTAAAGATTACAGCGCCAACGAACGAAGCGGCGAAATATGTAATTCACTTACCACGACTGTCAAACATAATCGATATTTCACGCGATCGATCTATAATATTGATGCAACGTAAAGATGTCAGTTTTACGCGGGAAGTGCAGCAAGAAGAAACAGTATCTAAAAATCGTCAGATAAAAACTCAGTGATTTTAAAAGACTCATTCAATTAGTTTTACTCGACGAAATTAAATTACTTACAAAGACACAAGAAAATATTTCCGTAAGGTATTTTGTGTTTCCTCGAAGTCAGTCGAATCTTATTTGTGTACGTTAGAGCCCTCACTCCGCCATATTAGTAGTGACGCAAACCTGTTGCGCAGAGGGTTAGTCTATTACTGAAAATCGTCACGTTGACATGTCATCTCGTATTGTGTTTATTAATAGTTGTGATTGCTTGATAGACACTTTCACCACCATCTTATCGTCTTTTATATTTACGTTACTGTTAATATCGTTCAATTAACTTATAGTTTTTACGAATATCACAATTTATTACTAAATTATTTTTTTCCTTTCGATCTTCCGATCTTTGATTGAATTGTTATATCGTATTATGAACTTTTAAAATGGTATTTAACTTTCGAACTATTTTATTTTTGTACTATTTGTTCCTTCTATATATTCATTTGAAAGTTTTGATGTTCCTTTGTCCGAATTGTCGTTGAGAGAATTTCGATTGTCGAGAAAATCTTCGGAAATGTTAGGAGGACGCTAACTTTCGAAGAATATTATGAAATTTGAAAGGACACCATGGTAAGTAATTGTAAATCCACTAGCTTTTTACGAGAGTATAGTTACATTTAATAAACATATTTAAGGTTATGGAGGATATAGTTATATTTAATAAATATATTTTATTTAGTCTAATGAAGGCAAATCTTTTTAGAAAGGGACGCTATCACGGTCAGTTTTGAACATTCTGCGCATCGTGTTGTTTGAACACTGCGCAGCTTCGTTTAATTGGCAAGAAAAGCGCGCCATATTTGAAACCTTAACCAGGGTTATATATTCGAAAATATTTGAAAATGCATAATATTTTAAATATATTTATTAAATATTTTGTGTTTATTAGGGACATAAACAAGTTATTATTAACAACTCATAATAAAAATGTTTAATTATTAAAATTTCTTTCTTTATCTTAAACTTTTTAAATAGTATAGTTTTAAGAAGAAAATCTAATAAATATTTTGTTTTATTATAGAATTCTTCTATCCTTCACTTCCTTGATGATGGGCTTCACGATGACTTCCTCCTAGATCACAGAAAATAACGTTCTTTACATCTAATCGTGAGTCGCATGCATTTTTATTCCTCTGGTCGCTCAATCATGTCGTAGGATGAAAGGTCCGAATCGACACGGGTGACTGGTTGTATTACGTAGAATTTTCGACGAGTATAGTGACAACGGGTATTTATTATACCCGGGAGTAGTAGCACTTTTTTGTCCATGTTCTATTTATTAGCTCAGGATAGGTTTTCTTGCACTTCGCGTTTTTAAATATCAATAATAGTTCACTGAATATACAATATGTATTTGTGATTAAAAATTACACAATTTATTATAATTATTTGTTAAATTGTAATATATATGATATGATTAATTGCAAAGATAAATATATGAAGGACTTGTAAATTATTAAATATACGATCTACATGAATAAGTAAAATATTAATATTTGAATAAACGATAAACGTTGCAATGATTTTGTTTCAGTATTTTGTAGAGTAATCGGATATTCTCCGATTTCATTGTTATGAAATTTTAATTGAAATTGTTGCAGTGGCAATGATAAATATTATAATTGTTGCAATTATAAATGATATGTCAATTTTATGTCGGGTTTTATAATAAAATAGTCAATATAATTTTAATGGAATTTAAGATGCGAAAGAAGCACGAAACTTAATTTTATTTGTTCAAAAATACTAAATTTCATGTGCAAGAAGACACTTCGCGATGTGCAGATTTCTGAATCAAAGTAATAATTTTGGAACATTATTTTTGCATTTTCAAATGTGTGCTTTGATGAAGAAATCGCCTAAGGAATTTTTCATCAACATTTCACTTAGAGTTCATTGTTACTTATTAAATTTTAAATATTGTTGCTTATCCATTGTTGATTTACTTTTATTCAAATATAGTATGAATTATTCAAATAAATTATAAAATAGAGTCATTGAATACTAAAATAAAATAAGAAAATACAATATTACTCCGTTAGATGTGAAATAAATACGTTAATCATTTTTTAGCTTAGGATTTCCAGGTTTAACCTTTTCCATGTTCACTGCCAGGATCTCATTCACGTGCCCAGGTGCTACTTGGGTGGGAAAAAGGCAACGAGCATGATGACCATAGTTCATAAACTTAATATGTAATTTCTCAGCGACTGATGATATGTTAGCGTATCGTGCACGACGTATTTTTCACATATGTGTGTGTGTATTAGGCTGTGTAATTGCGTCGTTTTTGTTGTTCTTTCAAGCAGTATAATTTTGAAATATTAATAAATTACACGAGTACTAATGATACGATCAGTTAATTACAACAAAAATTTTAATATCATGAATAGTATCATTAATCTTAATAAACTATGATAATGAAAACTATATAATAATAGTAACGAATTTCAATAACATCATTTCTTCAGATAATGATCATGAATGTTTAATTAAGATTGGAAATATTTTACGCAATGGTCGCTAGTAATCATCAGTTGATTTCAGGAAAATGGTACGTAAATTAAAGTATGAAAGTTGTGTGTTAAGCTCGGGTGTCGGAGGCGTCCCGGGACGTTCTCTCTAGATTAGGTTGCGCCCGGGTGTATGTGTGAGAACCGTGGAGTGAGTGTGTTGGTGTGCCTGTCTTTTGCCATTTTTTAAATATAGAGCGGCTGGATAGGATAGGTAACTTACTTTCTGGTATGCCTGTTTCTAACTCTAAGTAGGTAGGGCCGGGGACCGGTTGGTGCGTTTTTGCGTGTCCAACTTGTTTCAGGAAGTGTAATTTTTTAGCACAGCAGGTCGCTCGTTTGTAGTTTTGTTGACTTTTCGAATTTCGCGGTCGTGGTTATGAGCTATCGTTTGCTTTGCAATTAGAAAGATTCGAGGCTAGATTGTATTTCAGCGGGCATTGCGCCCGAAGAAAGAAGAGGCTTCAAGCCGAAGAGGCCCGGCAAATTGCCACAGAAGAGGGCAACTACGAGGCTAGCCATTCTCTGAATGGGGAATCCATCAAGAGTATGGGAAGTCATTCTTGTTGCTACTTTGTCACTATGCTCGATTTTAGTATTTGTAGTAGTAGTTATAGATTATATTTTGGCTGTTTGATATATTGTTACTTTTTTTCATTAACGCTACAGACAATAGCCAATCATTTTATTACAAATTTATGGTAGTTTCTTAAAAAATACTAAATTACTAAAATTTGTTTTGCTCCTTTTTACTTAAATTCGTATTACTTTATTTAATTTTTTATTCACATAGAGAAGATTTTCATCAATTTCATTTTAACTAATTGAAATTTCTCTTTTTCTAATTACATCGAACATGCATAGAAAAGCGATCGATTAGACAGTTTTTAAATAGATCGCGCGTACAGGTATCGGTAAAGCAGTAGCCTTAATTACCAATTACCGTAAAGACAACCGGGAGATTATCGTTAGTTGATAATATAGAACTCCGTGTCGCTGTTGTTGGTTAACAGAAAGCATAAAGCAAGGGGAATTCAGGCATCGATCTAGGACGATGAAGAAAGTACACTAGGGTAAATATACAACGTACGACATTTATTCTCTCATCTTTCTTAAATCGATATCCTACGTACGGGTAGATACAGAGGATTCTATAAAGGTACATGAATTTCCATGAATTCTGAAAATTCGAGGAGATATATCAGCGTACCCTTACGACATCCCTTCTATTCCTCTTTGTCGTGTGCGTACAACTGTGTATGCATGTGTGCGTATCTATACTTCCGTTCCGAATGCACTAACCCATTTACCTCGGACTCATACTACGTCGCAACTTCCTCCTGCGCGTTTCAATCTTTCATTCGAACGACTCTCCCGCGTTTTCATTGTCTACGAGTCTCGTCTCTTCCTTTGTTTTAAATAAAACATTACTCTGACAAGAACAACGACGTTTTTCTTTTCCTCTGTCACAAATATCGCAGCCACACGCACTCTGATTCGCCAGCCTGATTCGTTAATAGAATTCGAACGACTCGGTTCTGAAGCATAGAAGAATTTAATTCGATTCGTTCTTTTATTTCGTCGTCGTTTTCTGATCTCCCCCTTCTTCTTTCTTTTTTTTTTTTTTCTTTTCTTTCTCGTTTCGCGCGTTTGATAAACCTTTCTACTTCGAAATGAAATCCTCGTCGATCAAAGAACGATCGTCCAACACGAAACCGTGAAACCGGGATATTTACAGTGCCCACAGCTGTTTTGAAAAACGAACCGACACGACGATACTCTCGAGAATTATTCCCGACGTATCGATAACTCGACCGAGAACAGAATCGATTTTCGAACTCGCACGGACTTTGCCTAAATTTCAATCAACTTCTATCGGTCCTATACCCCTTTGATTTCCCTTTCATTTCCTTTTTTACCGAAGATATCGGCTCGGGGCGTAATTTTCTGTTAAAAGCGTCCGATAAAAGCCAACGTTTGTCTAATTCTCATTTCCCGTTCTTTCAACAACGACGAATTAAAAACTAATTAATTAAACGCATTCTATGTACACATCGACGCACAGTGTCTGGTCCTACGCGAGAATTGTCACTCCACGTGATATGCCACGGACTCGATTCCCTGCTAATTTCACTCTTCGTCCATTCGTTCGCCTTTCCAATCGATACACTAGCGGAGAGCTCACCCTCTACGGTTCAACAGCTTCGCAGCTCTCGAAGCTCTGACTCGAGCCGAGCAACGTTTCATCAACGTTAAATGAAATTCAATATAAATGATATGTAAATGGAAGGCGATGCTTTAACGCGGTACCGTACTCTCTCTCTCTCTCTCTCTCTCTCTCTCTCTCTCTCTCTCTCTGTCCTCTCTCGTTGGGAAATTTTACTTTAAGGGAGCTTCCGTCCTCTGCACGGTATAGTTTTTTTTCTTTTTTTTTTTTTAAACTCTTAACATTTCAGACGTTCTCACGAGAGACAGACCCTCCCCTATCAGTTTCTCCTCTCGCGAACGATCTCTCGGTTTCGCCCTCGAGTTAATAAGAAAATTATCGGGATCAAATCGCGTTCTCTAGTTCGCCAATTACACGTTCGACAAACATACCGAGGCGCTGAAAGGCCGCAGAGGGTTGAAAAATACCATGAAACCGTAGAACCTTTGGACCAACGTCCGACAACGATCTTCCTTTGTCTTTTTTCGCTTTTTCTTCGCAATGTCGAACCTCGAGCGGCGTGACAACACCGGCTCTTGCACGAACATTTCCGTTCGTTTAATGCCACTTGTCGATATATTGTCATGGATTCTTTTTTTCTTGCCTGCTCCGTTCCGAGCCGCTACTTTCTGATATAGACGAACGAAGAAACGCGGCAAAAGTCGACGCTCCCATACCCTCGACGTCGTTCTGGACATTTTCTGGACGACAATCCATTTTTTTCTTTTTTTTTTTTTTTTTTTTCACGATCTTCAACTGCTTTGGTTGGCTTTTCTTCCTGACAGACGAAAGAGGAACCAACTTACGATGCGTTAAGGGCACTCGAAGGATTGAACAGTTTTCTTAGAACGCGGACGGCGATTACGGCCGTCGCCATTCGACAAATTTCAGTCCCGTAGAAAAAATATTCGCTCGATTTCCTACTAAACTCTCTCTCTCTCTCTCTCTCTTTCTCTCTCTTTCTCTCTTGCGCAACGAAATTACAGGTTCCCGTGGTTTGCGAAAGCGTACAAGCTCTTACTGTTAAGCCCCTCGTCGTCCCGTGCACCGCCGATCCTGTCGATTTACCGCAAACCCCCTCCACCAATTTCCAACCAATTTGAACATGTTCGACTAAGTAACTTGGAGATAGCCAAGATTGATCAACATCCGCAATTACGTGTTTTATCACCTTCCGACCGGAATGAATGGTTCTCCGCGACGTCCGGCGCGCGTACGCGGGCGCATGTACGATTTCAAAGCTTTCGAAAATATTTAATATCGTTAAGGGTGGTGGAGATTCAACATTGAATTTTACACTGAAATTCGAAGCTAAGTAAGTGTGTGTGTATTGATATATATATGTATGTATGTATGTATATATGTGTATGTATGTACGTACGTAGTTCCGCTTGTCGAACGATCTCCAGTTCTGCGCGCAAGCTTCGAAACTCGCGTTTTTTCGAATTCTCACGGAAGGGGAAGAGACATTCTCCTCACTGGGAGAATTTTTCCCTTCCCGAGGCACTTCGCCTTTGAATTTTAGGACACGTTTCTCCTCTGTTCTCGTCTGAGGAGGTCGAAACGAAAAAAAGAAAAGAGTAAAATTCAGGAAGATGGGGGTTCCGGTGGTGAGCGCCGCTATCGAGAAAAATTGCTTGCCGAGGAAATCCAAGTTAAATAAAGAGAGAGGGAGAGGGAAGCAGAAGAGGTGGACGGAGGAGGAGACAAGGGGCAGCAAGCACGAAGTTGAGAAATTTCGGGGACTTTTTTTTATAGCTTTTTCCCTTTTAGAGCAAAAAGAAGCGCGAGAGCTCGAAGAAGAGTTGGAAGAATTTCGATCGAGAAGGATCGTTCCGTTTCCCCCTCCCTTTCGAAAGAAGCATAGCGTTGATTCTTTTTTTTTTTTTTTTCTTTACACGTCCACGTACGCTCGACAAACACGGCATGCGATACAAATTCCTTTCGAAACTACGTCGGTGAAGAAAAGGAAAGGGGAAGGCGAGAAAGAAAGAAAGAAAGAAAGAAAGAAAAAAAGAGAAAGAAAATGGAAATACAGAACGTAGGAAACGGTGAACGAGAGAAAATCGCTAAGGAGTGAAAAAACAGCTATCTAAACGATCGACGACGGAGCGTCGATCAATTTGCAAATCGAAGAATCGCGAAGCGCCCGCGAGGGGAGCCAAGCGTGACAGGGGTACGGTGCATTTTGGCAGGGGGCCAGAGAGTCGTTGGAAATTGCTCGGAGACTTCGCGTAGCCTATTGTCGACTGAACAGACCGGTAACCGTCGGGCAAGATCAACGACCTGCGGCGAAGCTTCGATCTACTTCATCGAGATCGTCCGTCGATCCGTTTCGATCAAGCCGTTGTCGTTCCCTGTGATCAAGCTGCCTCGGCGATGCACCGTGGTCGTCGTCGAGGTGTTCATCGGGCTCTTGGACGTCGTTTCTGTGGTCGTGCTTGTCGACGCCAGTCTCTTCTGCGAACGAAAGACGAGTGCTTTGTCAATTGGTGTATTTAAAATATCTTTAAATTGCAATTACATCATAATAATTGTAATTAATATATTTAAATTATAATTGTATCATAATAGTTGTAATTAATATATTTAAATTATAATTATATCATAATAATTGTAATTAATATATTTAAATTACAATTGGTTAATGGTTAATTGGTTAATATATATAAATTATAATTGGTTAACCTTCTAACGACGTCCCTTCGCTAGTGGACGGATTTAAATCGCCAGACGAAGTTTAATTTTACATGTTTTCATATAAATTATTGTAGTTCCTATATTTTCAAAGTTAATCAAGTCAAATAAAGACTCAAAACAAGAAGACATTCGGCTTTCTCAGATTATATTATATAGGTGTCGATATATCGGACGTTAGTACTTAGAAGCTTAATGTCATCAACGAGCTACAATAAACGACAAATGGCGAATAAATAATGGGGAATATATCGACAGAGTGAGTCCTAAACCCAATCCAAAGCAACACTTCGTTAGATCAAAAGTTTGCTATTGAATCGATTGAAAATAAAAAAAAGTAAGAAGTAAAGCAAGGAAAGGACTGAATTTCTTGTTGTATTGAATTTTACACGAAAGGTGGCTAACTGGCGGCTTTTACCCCCACCTCTCTGATCGCTAGCGCTACCCCCTCCACGACAATAAACGCTAGCGCTACCCCCTCCACTACAATAAACGACAAATGGCAAACAATGGGGAATATATCGACAAAGTGAGTCCTAAACCCAATCCAAAGTAACACTTCGTTAGATCAAAAGTTTGCTATTGAATCGATTGAAAATAAAAAAAAGTAATACAAGTAAGAAGTAAAGCAAGGAAAGGACTGAATTTCGTGTTGTATTAAATTTTACACGAAAGGTGGCTAACTGGCGGCTTTTACCCCCACCTCTCTGATCGCTAGCGCTACCCCCTCCACGTAGCTCGCGAGCCGCCAGTTTCTGGGATTAAAATTCGATTCACACAACGGTTGTTTGTTTCATCGAGAAATAATGTTGTTTCACTGAAAAACGGAAATTATTTACGACTCGACCAACATTACCTCTCGCGGTGTGGATATATACGTTAACCTCCAAACACTTCTCCCGTTGCCTAAGTCAATATCCCTCTGCCCTTGAATTCACGCTCGAAAAGATCCCCGTCGATCGATCTGCTAGACCAACAGCAATCTCAAAGGCCGCGATTTCAAAGCTGTCCGGAGCAACCGTGTTTATTAACCTCGCGAACCTTCCCCGGAAAGTGGAGAAGGGAATCGATTTAAGGGAACTTTCGGTCTCTATTCGACCAATGGCCGGACGGAGATCAACCGTTGATTCAACCGGGAATATCCGGATCGGGGATAGAATCGTGCGAAACTTTATGTTCGGCGGCGAACTTTCGCAATCAGGCCGGGGATCACGTAAGATCCACGCCGGAAGGGAGGCATCGCTCACTTCCGGCCGGTAAGGTCAACCTAGTCCGGGCACGTCCTCGTCAACGAATTCCGGAAATTGCGGCACGTAAAAGCGTCGCGATGCCACGGGGTTACCTTCCAATTCGAGTGTCTTTCGGGGCTTTCTCTTCCAAACGGCGCCAGCCGATCGCCCATCTTCGTGCCCCGTTCGTCAAAAAGCTCAGCGGCTGTTTTTCAGTCGTTAAAGACAAACGTTCCGTGCCACGTGGTGCGTACGCGCAGTTCAACTATTTGGAATTTTTTTTACAAATTAGACGAAGAATTGTTTTTACAAATTAATGTTATAAAGTCAGGTATTGACATCTTGATTAAAATAACGATAAAAAGTTAAAATTAAAGTGAATATTACTTATTAGTATTTAGTGTTATTGTATAATTTATATAATAGAATTTAAATAATTTAATACTATTTGCTATTACTTAGTACACAAATGACAATAATAAAAATATTTGGAACAAAATCTTTTATTTTAAATTAATTTTCGTTAAAAAGTTGTTTGTTAAAATAACCCCTTGAAATTAAATTTATTGCCTTGTTCTGTAATGCTTAAATCTTAAACTCTGGACTGTTTTTCAGTCGTTGAAGACAAACGTTTCCACGTGGTGCGTATGCGCAGTTCAACTATTTGGAATTTTTTTCAACGAAGAATTGTTTTTACAAATTAATGTTATAAAGTCAGGTATTGACATCTTGATCATTTTCTTCGACTGTTTGTTAAGATCAATTCAATTCGGCAAGAAGACGCTGTGAAATTTGTGATCAAAATAACGATAAAAAGTTAAAATTAAAGTGAATATTACTTATTAGTATTTAGTGTTATTGTATAATTTATATAATAGAATTTAAATAATTTAATACTATTTGCTATTACTTAGTACACAAATGACAATAATAAAAATATTTGGAACAAAATCTTTTATTTTAAATTAATTTTCGTTAAAAAGTTGTTTGTTAAAATAACCCCTTGAAATTAAATTTATTGCCTTGTTCTGTAATTAAATCTTAAATCTTAAACTCTGGACAATTATAGTTTTTCCATTGTTACAAAAATTATAAGACATATTTCAGAAGTAAAATGATCAATCGTAATAAGCTTAAATTTCTCAGTAACGCGTGTAACTGCGTGTCGTGGTTTTGATATACTCGTCTCTCTCTCTCTCTCTCTTTCTCTCTCTCATCGTTTTCAACGTCTCGACAAAGTCGACGATGTTTGTCGAATAATTAGAAACGGTCAATTTTCAATTACCTTGTGTTAAAAATCAGTTAAAAGCTTCAATTCATTAAATGAATTAACACTAGAACTACCGATTAAAATAAAATTTCCATCGGAGATGTTACAGTAGAAAAAGAAAAAAAAAAAAAAATAAATAAATAAATAAACGGAGCTTTTATTAAAAGAAAAAAAAAATCGTTTAAATCTCAAAAAATAAACCGTTCTACACCAATTAAAATTTCACAGCCATATTTTCGTAGTACTTTCTCAGCATCTGTACGAAAATTATATCAAGGCACCAGTCTTGTCGTTAACTGATCGTCGATTCTCACCCCGTCGAGTCGCGAGAGCGTAGCGGCGTGGGAAATTGAATAAAACGCGAGTCGAGCTCACCTCGGCCTCGTTCTCTTTGTAAGACCAGAAGTCAATTTGCCTGAGTGCCTCCAGCTGGTTCTCCAACGGATCGCTGTTATTGCCTTTGGCCGGTCCGTTTCGCAGACTGGTGTCCTTCTTCCACGCGTAGATCGGTCGCTCGAGGCCCACTTGCACCTGATTACTACCCGTCCGCTCCTGTTCGTCCGCGCGGCCGTTTTCGCTCCTTGGGTCGTCTTCGTTCTTTCTCCAATCGTTTCCGGTGTACTTGGGCGAAGAAACCGCGGACACCGCGACGAACGCGTTTTTTGACTTGGACGAGGTCGCGTCGGCGGTGGTACCGGGCTTCGAGATGGGCATCGCGGTCACTCTGTGATAGGCGAACTGTTTCCATTTCGCCGGCCAGGTGCCGGTCGAGCTCGTCTTCCCGTAACTCCACTCGTCGTTGATCTTCTGCTGCCACGGCGAGAGCTCGTTCCCCTTCGCCGTCCAGTTGTTCTGCTCGTTGGACTTTTTCGTCCAGGAATCCGCGGAATCGTCCTCCTTGGCCTTCGCCGGCCACGGATCGTCGTTGAACTTGGACACGTTGTCCAAGTTGGTCTTCGACGTCCACGATTCGTTGGACTTGGTCGACCAGGAGCCGCTTCTCGTCGACCAGGAACTCTTGTCCCCCATCTTGGACATCCACGAGGTGGACTCTGGCTTGGACAACCACTCTCCTTTCACTTTCCACGAGTCGGAGTTGCCGCCTTTGGTTTTCCCGAACCACGAGCCCGGTTTGCTCGACTTTTCCGACCAGAGTTCCGGGATGTTTGCCTTCTCCTCGGGCCAGAGCGTTATACTGGATTCATGGTCCATCCACGAGTCGTTGGCTCTCTCTGGCCAGGATCCCTTGCCCGTCCATTTGCCGTTCGATCTCTCGAGCGGCTTCGAGGACCACCTTCGAGAATTATTCTCGTCGGTGGCAGGCTCTATCGGTTTGATCTGATACGGTTTCCAAGTGGATTGGTCGGCCGCCATTACCCAAGCGCCGACCGATTGGATCTTGGGCAAGGCTTCGGCTTCCTCGCTCCACGAACTCTTCCCCTCATACTTTCTTCTCCAAGCGCCGGGATCATCCCCCTGCATATTCTCCGTCTTCATCCAATCGTCCTTCGAGCCCTTAGAATCCGACAGCATAGCCCACGATTTCATCGACTCTCCGGATCTCGTCTTGTAGTCGCTGAAGTTGCTTCTGTCGTCGTACGACTTGTGCCTCGTAGCCTCGTTCGGCGACAGTTTCTCCTCGTCCTTCGACGAGAACAGTCTGCTCTGTTTCTCGTCCTTCGGTTTCACCTCGCCGTTCGACTTCTCGGCTTCATCCTTCGACCAGCCGGCGCCGCTCTGCTTGTCCAAGCCCAGTTTCTTCACCAGGTCGGCGTTCGGGTTGTACGACTTGCCGTTCTCGTCTTTCGGCCACGGTTTCGCGCCCGGTAGCTTGTGAGGCCACGTGGCTGGGTCGGAGGTCAGGCTGTTCCACGTTTTCATGGTTATCTGAGGCAGCACGACTTTCTCCTTCTTCTCCTGTTTCGCGGACGATCTGTTGGACTCGGAGCGATTCTTGCTCTTCTCCCAGACGCCGTTCGCCTGATTCGCCCGGTCGTACAGTTTCGCGGGCCTTTCTCCTTGTTGCCAAGTGTTTGGCGCGACTTTCACGGGTTTCTCGACCGGCCAGTTGGGCCTGTCCCTGTTCCACGTGTGTTGGACACGTTGCTGCGGCCACATCTTCTCGGCCTCGGCTTCCTGCTCGGCGTCCTCCTGCTCGTTATTCAACACGGACCAGTAGCTCTTCTCAACCGGTAGAAAGCTACCGCGTTGCGACCAATAGCTGGCCTCGTTCGAGGCTGGCTGCCTCCAAGACCATTTCCCGGAGGGAACAGGCAACAGTGGACGTTCCTCCGGTCGCCAGGGTGGATTGTAACCGTAGGATAAATCCGGCCAACTCTTGCTCAAAGGGAAATCTCGTGATCTTGGCTCGTACTCGTCACTGGCGGGAAATCCATCCGACTGCACGTTGAAGTCGCCTTGGTACTCCTCCTCGCGTCTTCGCAAGAACTCTCGCGACGCTGGCGACAGCTGATTGTATCGCAGTCGGCGGTACGTTTCCGGTATGTCGTAGTCGGGCAGGCGTTCTGGATCTGAAAGATCAAAGAGCATTCGGGCACTTTCGGTCGAAAGGATTCGAAATTTCAATCGTTTGTTGGAATGCTCTTTGTATGGAGCAAAGTAATATTTTATATTGTAATAAAGTTTTCGTAAATATTTTATATTACATTAAATTTAATGATATTTTATATTATAGTAATATATATATTAAATTTTATAGATAAATTTTTTTTATAGCAATATATATATATTAAATTTAGTTAATATTTTATATTATTATATTTATCGTTTGGTTAAAAGTTTGCTGCTGAATCGATTGAAAATTGAAACTTGTTTATACAGAATAATACAAGTAGCAAGGGAAAGACTGAATTTCGCGTTTTGTATTAAATTTTACAGCAGAGGTGGCTAACTGGCTGCTTTTGTCTCCACTTCCTGCGTTGAAAGTGTCGCGGCCATAATACTCGCATTAAGTATATATGTATAAAAATTGTAGCTGCTGGTCAAAGAAATATAGCTAAAGAAAGTTTGTATAAGACAAAATGAACAAAGTGGGAATTTATTTTCATGATGGAGAAACCGGCAGAGTTCGTGTTCTTCCAACAATGGGAAAGAAATTCGTCGCCTCTGATTTTTACACCATCTACCGTAGAAACGAGAAACGCAAGAACGACTTAGGGAGGTATTCTAGTGTAAACTTTTGAAAAAAATCGACTTGTTTTTGCATATTCTTAAAGGACATAATTTCAATAATAAATCTCTGTAACCTTACATGTGAACTCCTAAAATTAACGAAGTTATGGTTGTTTGAAGGACGCGACGACCAGCGCCATTGTGTACCGCAATACTAAACTTTAAAGGCATTTTTCTGGAAACTATGTTTTTTCAGAACGGTGTCCATGATATCTCAAAATCTACTTGACCAACCGACTCAAAATTTTAAGCACGCATTTAGTATATGTGTGATGACTATAGAGCCCCTACCAGAATCAACCAAAAAATTTCACTTTTTATATTTTTTTAGGCTTCCGAAGTTTAACAAAAATATGCAAGAATCGATAATCGAACTTCAAAGTACTCGCTACTTTTTTCTTAATTACCGACCTTTTCCTTTTGTTTTGGCACCTGCTATAGCCTCGTACTAATTAAGAAACATCCGCGTTCTTTTCGACATGCAGAATGGCCGGAATCACGGACACCGTGAGACGACCTTTTTTAGAAGCGACTATGTTTGAGAATACGCAGTACCACTAATTTTAACTTGTTTTGTCCCAAAAAAATTGTAAAACATCGTTGAAATACGTACAAATAAACCTTGTCAACTTGACTGTCAAAGGTGCAATAGTTTCTCTGCAAAAAAATTCTCAAACAAAGTTAAAAAAAAAAAAAGTTCATATTGAAATAACCCCGGTTAAATGACCACTTAACCTAGTCGGCCCACTCACCCGAAGGTCTGTCGTACACGTTCGCGAACTCTCTGTGAGGCTGACGCGCAGCGACCTTGCCAAACCGCATCGGCCTCTGACTCCCAAGTTCGGCGGCCTCGTCCGTCAGTATTGGCTTACGATCGTAGGTGAAAGACTTGCCGTTGCTTTTCGACTTGTTCTGTTCGATCAGCTCTCTGATGGAGGTCAAGCCTCTGGGACTCTGCGGGACGGTGTAACGCGGGCTTGCGGTCTTTTCGCTTTCATCGTGCAGATCCTGCTGCCAGGGCGGGCCAAAGAGCCTCTCGGCCACCAGACGCCACTGGACCGGCGTCGTTTGCCAGGGCGTCTCTGTGGTGGTCAACAGCGGAGGCGTCGCTGGCACGGACGTTAACGCGCTCGCGGTGAAACGATGCCTCGGCTTCTTCTTCTTCTTCTTCTTCAACTTCTTGCGAGACTTTCTCGAATCGTTTGATGATTCCGACGTGGCTGGGAACGACAGAGCGGAGGCAGACTCGTAGCCTCGTTTCGCCGGGTCCAACTCGTTTCTGGACAGCTTCAGCTCGTTCTCCGTGTTCGCTGTCGAAGAGAGAGAGAGAGAGAGAGAGAGATGAGAGACGAGAGAGTAGTCGCTTTTACCTCGTCTGTTTGCGTTTCTTTGATTAAAATGGCCACGCTCTTTTTAATTAGGATCCAGACCAATTTTGAGATTACAAAGTTTCTATACAAAGTTTCTGCGAAGTTGAAATTACGATTATTCTTTCTCGCAGAACAAAGTAATTACGAAATAACGTTTTGTGTATCGTTTGCTTAATCACAGCAGTGATTAAGCACGCTGAAACGAGAGTATATTCGCGTGGGATGTTCGTGGATTCCCAGTGAAGAGTAACATTTATTGACCACAGTACGAGAGTATGTGTGTATTTTACGTTTCATCTACTAAAATAACGTTAATACAGTATAATATACACAGAGTGTTTCAAAGTTAATCTAATCGACGTAAAAAGAAGAGGAAAATGTGTTATGTGAAATTCGACGCCAAACGCTTTATTATATTATCAATTATAACAATTGCAAAACAAGTGAGAAATAGTTTTCAATCCCGTCGAGCTTGAATTAATAACACTATAAAGTTCTCTGAATTTCAATAAAATTACGTTCTTCATTGTTTGCACTAGTTCTCCGTGGAGAGATTCCAGTGAACTTCTGCTGAATAAACCTTTTGCTTTAAAGCACTTCATAAATAAAAATCAAATGAGAAGAGAAGAGAAAATGCCATTCCATGCATGTAACAGTTGTTTATAACTTTGTAACAAGGCAAACGGTTCCCTGCTAAACTTTATATTACATTTTCTTTCTTCCTTTTGCGTGTAGATCAAGCCTTCGTAGTTTCGTCGTTCAAGTTCGGGACACCTTGCGTACCGGGTGAATCACCTAAGAAGTTACTGGAAGTTGAAATACGATTGATTGTATCAAAAAAGTTTTTAAACGAAAGTTGAAAGGGGGATTAATTGATGTAATTGATAAAAATCAAGTTTGTTTTTTTTTTTTTTTCGTTCAAATGAAATCGTATATTTTTTAATAAAAAAAAAAAAAAAAAAAAAAAAAAAATGTATCGAGCCATTTGTAACGAGAAACCATTTCAGTCCAGGAGATATTTTTTAATTAAAATAATTCCGAGTGTTGAATGCTCGCAGAGTGTTTATATATAACAGCAAGTAACAACGGGAGATTGTGTAACGTTTGTTAATTATTTATTGCGATCAGAGTTAAAATAAATGTTTGCTTTACTCTATTACACGATGTGCTCAAATACACTTGTAACCTAATTTTTAAGGAATGTTTCACACTACTTAATATCAATCCAGGTGATAATTTTACATTACTCGTCGACACCTAAGTCCTAAATTAAATCGAGGTCGTTTTTAACTTTTGTCTAGAATTTGTTCTTGGATTTGTGATTAATCGTTTCGAAACTATTCCAGCTTCTAAAGTTATCTTATTGTTAGTTAGATGATTCACTCTGCGTATAGACAGTATAGGAATATTAACTCTACTGCAGAGAAGATATTCATGGCTGAACGAATTATCCGTAATTAATTATCAAGTCCGTTGAATCCCACACATGTACATATGTACTGCCGGCTTAATCGGTTGCCTTGTAACATCTACGAATTTATGGTTTCGATTTCGAGAATGAGAAAGCAAAACGTAGTACCGCAATTCGAATTTTAAATTTCAGTTCTTTCGATTGAAGATCAATAGGTACTTGTGTTGCATATATATACATCCTCGTTCATAAGTTACCGGACACTTGCTTATTTTGATCTAAACAGTTACTAGAACACAGATAGATACACTTTTCTGGATTAATTTTATTATACAATCTTGTTATACGTACTCTATTTACTCTATTTTATAATAATACTTGAAAACAAAATTGATATTTAACGTATATGGTCTGAATAAATATTTCAAAGTCTGAATAAATATTTCAAAGTGTATCAAAAATATGTATATATATTTCAAAAATCGAATCGATGTATTTTGGGATGAATTGGACAGAAGCCTTCAGAAATGTGTCCAAAATCAAAAAAAAAAAAAAAAGACTTGTGGAAGAAATTAGAAGAAGCGTGGAAAGAAATTCAATCCGAAATATTGTTAAAATTAAACGGAACTATGCAACGGTTATTTCTGGCTTTTATATTTGCATAAAGATATAAGATACATTATATACAATTTGGTAAGATTTTTGACATATAAACAGTTTGACATATAGAATATAACATGAATATAGAATATGACATATGTCAAACTGTTTATATGTCAAAAATCTTACCAAATTGTATATAATGTATCTTTGTGCAAATATGAAGGCCAGAAATAACCGTGGCATACTTCCGTTTAATTTTAACAATATTTCGGAATGAATTTCTTTCCACGCTTCTTCTAATTTCTTCCACAAGTCTTTTTTTTTTTTTTATTTTGGACACATTTCTGAAGACTTCTGTCCAATTCATTCCAAAGTACATCGATTCAATTTTTGAAATATATATTTTTAATATACTTTGAAATATTTATTCAGACCATACACGTTAAATATCTATTATAAAATAGAGTAAATAGAGTACATATAACAAGATTGTATAATAAAATTAAAAGTGTATCTGTAGTTCTAGTAACTGTTTAGATCAAAATGAGCAAGTGTCCGGTGACTTATGGACTGTATATATAATAACTAACGCTTTTCTAAGGAGATTCAAAGATTTATCCTTTAATTGTTCCAATGTTGCTCCTTGCTGAAAATCAAGGTCAAAGCCAAGATTCCGCGGCAAGGTATTCCCCCATAGTTCAGAATCGAGAAGGTAAAATGTAAAACTGATTCTTCGTGACAAACGTCTCTTCCCACCCTGTACATTCACTCGTTCGAGCGAGCGAAGGCGAAGGCGAGCGGCGTCGATTTATTTCTCATAAAAAGCGCGTCGCGATACGTCCACTCGAGGCGACGTCCCACCGCCATCGCGGGCGGCGCTCATCCATCAGCCGGAGCAAATGGCCATTATTAAAGCGGCATTGTTCCTGTAATGGAGATTAAGATGGTTTCGCGCGCAAAGCGCTTTACCTACTGTACGCCGCCGGGCTCCGATGCACGGACTAACTTGTTCCTGGATTATTCACTGTCCCCGTACACATTACTCTACTTGTGCGCCGCGCGTTAGTCGCGAAAATTAAGAGAGGGGCCGTTTCGAAAGGAATCGCGCGTGCAAAAGCCCCGCGTTAATCCTTTTTTCTAAATCTCTCTTTTCCTCTCTTTGACAGAAGGAATTGTTGAATTTCGTTTGAAATTCAACGCTCGCGTCGATGCTCGCTTAAACATCGTGGAATGAAAAAAGAAAAGAAATTTTTTTTTTTTTTTTTCTTTGGGCACTCCCAAAGGTTTATATAACATTTGAGTGTTTTGGATTTCGTCGATTATACAGGATGTCACGTGAAAAAACTGAATAAAAGATATAGAATAAAATTTTTTTCATACGAAGCTCTGTTTCCCGAGAAAAATAGCTTTGAAAGTTTATCGAAAGTTTATGCGCTTGATCAAGATTCAACTCAATAGATCTCATTATTATCTCTGCTAACGTTTGTAAACATTCCCAATGTTCGTACGCGAGGGCACAGAATGTCTACCTTTCACCAATCTTTTTTAGTTTAAAAATTGTTGGATGTGACGTCCACGTTGTCCACGCTCTTCTTATTAAATTTCTACGAACATTTTCCACTGTGTTATTTTGCAGTTTCAATGTTGCAAACGCTATAATAATTTTTTCGTTTAACTGTTCAACGTTCGTTGTGCCGCTAGAATAAATGGCCTCATAAGTAAAAATCTAGCGGTGACAGATCCGGAGATCGTGGTGTTCTTCCATTGCAGCCGATCCAATGTCGGTAGTTTTCGTTTAAAAAAATTTCTCACTTCACGAGTGAAATGCGATGGTACTCCATCTTGTTGGTAAATTAAATTTCTTCGAATTTCTTTCAATAATTGTGTTGAATCTTGATTAAGTGCACGTGTACATAAACATTCACATTATTCTATATTTTTTATTCAGTTTTTCACGCAGAATCACCACCTTCCCGCTTGTACCATCAGTTATGTGACACCCTGTATATTCACTCTTCGCTGAATTGACTACGATTGTCTTCCAAATAATCGAAATCGAAATCCTTCAATTTCCGAATATTAGTCATAAGCTTAATAACATACTACGTATATATCACGAATTTTTTAACAAACTGAAATACAACATAGCCCGCGGGAGATTCGCAACTTTCCCAATCGAGAATTTCAATCTTGAAAACTGTTTGCCGAGTCGAGTCGAGTCTTTTTTTCTTTTCGAATCTCGCTGCAGGGAGCCCAACCTCTTTTCATTACCAAAGTCGGAAGATTAATTTCCCAAAACTCTGGAGAGATTCCTCCAACAGTCCGGATGTCACGCGATCCTCCCGGTTTTTCAAGAATTTGTCGCGCGACAATTGGAAGCCGTTCGATCCGGCTCGATCCGACTTCCGAGTTCATTCCCTTTGTTTCCGGCTAATCTCGCCGGAGAAACACGAAATGGCGAGAGTACATCGCGGCGTGAAACGGGTTAACGTATTGTTCGCGTGCCAGGAAGTAATCGAATGAGTGGGACTCCGGGCGAAGGAGAGTGGGATGAAGAGGAGGCGTACGTGTGTGGCGGAGGATGAAAAAGAGCCGAGGCGAAAATCCAAACGGGGAGAGGATTTCCCGCGGGCGAGTTACATTGATTTCCACCGTCGTTATACGGATCGACTAATTGTCAGGGGGCAATTACGTCGAACAATAATGCAGACGCTATCCGTCTAATCGACCTATTGTGAGGCTTTATTGGATCCTCCCTGGCCCCTGAATCCTCCTCGAGCGCGATTTAACAGCGGTAGCTCTTCTCTTCTGCCACTTCTTTCTCTTTCTCGTGTTTTGGCCTTGCAACTGATCTCGCTCACCAATCTGACTTGCCCAAAATCTGAATGCCCTCTGTCCGAGTCTGGCTCGAATCTTGAGCTCTTGAGCTTTCCAACATCGTTGACCATCCATATTTGGGTGACAGCTTCATTTACTAAGCTCATTTATTATTATATATTACTTATTATAAATCATTTATTATTATATGTTGTTATATATTGTATATATACTTATTATAAATTATTTATTATATATTAAGTTTCCATTAAGGTCGCGTTACTCGCGTGGGTGACGATCTTATTTTTACACTTTTAGAAAGTGTAATGGTATTTAGTAGAAAAACGAGTATTCGACAGTAAATTACGATTAAGTAACAACGTAGCAAATTATTTTGAATGTTTGAATGTTAAATCATTTTGAAGTAGCCACGGCTATTTTATTTACACAATACGTACTATAATAATGATTTGGAAAACATTTTTAAACAATGCTGTTGTAAATTCTCTGAACGAACATTCTCTATGCTCGAGGTATGCAAAGAATGTGTAAAAAACTAACCTAACTTGACAAGCTAACACTGGAGAGCATTGTCCGTATTATAAATCGAACAAAGGAATAAAAAGACGAAACAATAAAGCACAAAAACAAAAGAATGAAATGACGAAAGACGAAAGAAGCATGAAAACGAAACAGGATGTCTGAGGAATAAGTCGAGATCGTAATAAATCTATCGCAAGAAACATGCTAGATTTCCTCTCGATCAACGTGTCAATTTCTCTCGGAAAACTACTGAGTTCCCACTCGTTCGATCATTTTTTATAAATTTACCGTGTTATCATTTATTATAAATCATTAATTATTATATATTATATATTATTTATTATAAAGCATTAATTATTATATATTATATATTATTTATTATAAAGCATTAATTATTATATATTATTATATATTATATATTATTTATTATAAAGCATTAATTATTATATATTATTATATATTATATATTATTTATTATAAATCATTTATTATTATATGTTCTTATATATTGTATATTATTTATTATAAATCATTTATTATTATATGTTATTATATATTATATATTACTTATTATAAATTATTATATATTGTATATTACTTATTATTACATATTATTATACATTATGTATTACTTATTATAAATCATTTCTTCTTCTTCTTCTTCTATTTTTCTTTAACGTCGCATCGACAGCGAGGGTCATTAGCGACATAAATCATTTATTATTATATATTATCAATTATCATTACAAATTTCAGAAGCTAAACGTCGCACGAGTTTCCAAATTCCACAGTCGACAGTTTCATCGTTCCTCGACTTGGCCATCGTCCACCCTGTCTGGCTATCCCTTTTCCCGCCTCAACTCCATTTTCCGTTTGTATCGCCGCTAGATGTAAGACGCGTCTTCAGCGATATAATTAACCGAAGAAGTTCATCGGGCTGGGAGGGGGTGGGTTGCAACAGGTTTCTTTCTGGGCGGGGTTGCACGTTCGCAACAAAGTCTCGAGTCGGCAACTTCCCTTTCGAGGCACGACGAAACTTGCTCGATCATCCTTGTCCCTTGTCGTCTCGCGAGCAAACAGCGAGTCGATGAACCGGGTTCGAGCTTCCGTTGTGTTTCGACGGTGGGAACAGGCTGGAGGGTGGGATCTTCGTTCGACGTAAGCTCGTCGAGAGAGGGTGAACGACTCCTCGTCGATGTACGGATTACTTGGAGAGACGACGAGAGATAACGAGGAGCGAACTATTTATCGAAATACCAATTTCAAGCTACCAGCTTGTGTGCCGTGGAAATTCCTTAGCTCGTCTCTTTCTCAACACCTTCTACACCCGAGACGTACGTACGAAAGCGTTACTTACCAAGCAATTTCTGCACGCGCTCCCACCGGCTTGGATTCTCAGCCAGCTTCACCAAAAGTTTCAGCAAGTTCTCCACCAGCGCGTCCTCCCGAGCCTAGCCAACACACAACGCAACGATAATTCATTATTGTATTAACTGCCGAAAGTAATAAACCGAACCGAGGTTGTAAAACTAGGTGAAACACAGGTGCGTATGAGAGAGAGAGAGAGAGAGATAGAGAGAACGTTCAAGTTCAGTCCTGAGCAGATTACTGGGAAAAGTTTCGTGTAAACGTTTGAATATTTATGAAAATTATTATTATTATTGGGAGAAGTTTAAACGCTTGAATGTTTTTATGAATATTTATGAGAATGTAAGTGCGAATGTCTGACAGATAAATTGTAAAATATCGGGCAAACACCGATACTTTATTTTACGTGGTTGTCTTAGATTTGTTTCTGTCTTGGATTTCAATTAATCAAACGCACCGTCGGTATTGTCTGAAAGATTAGGAAAAGTTTCGTATAAAGTTACTATAAATGGGAGTATAAATACTATTCTCGCGGTAGATTTTCTTCTGTTGGATTCTAATTTAAAGGTCGCACGCATCGTTTATAAGCGTTGGTACAGCATTATGGAAGTTTGAGTAGACCCGGAATAGAAGATTATCAGGGAAATTTCCACATAAAGCTATTAACGAACAAGAGAGTGTGAGTACAACGTTATCGTGAAAAGTCAGGCGAAAAGTATTTTGCACAAGAAATATTTATCTCATAAATTTTTTTCTGCTAGATGTTAATTTAAACGCGCCACCGTTCGTAAGTGTAGAAAAATCATCAGTGAAATGTTTCGCGTAAGGCCACTAGAACTCTTTGAATATTTATGAACATGAGCGTACGAGTGCAACCGCGTGACAGATAAATTATCGCCAAATAGAGAGCATTCTGCACGTTTGCCTCGTAAATTTTCTTCTTTCCTCTCTTGGATTTTAATCTACGTCGCTTTCCGCGGGATTCTCTGTCTCTTTGCCTCTCTATCAACAAACATTGCAAACCAGCAAATCCAGCACGGACAAAATGGAACTCGTCGACCAAGTCGTTGAACGGCGGTAATTTTCGAAACCGGTGGCTCTCGAGGGAGAGACTGAGAGAGAGAGAGAGAGAGAATTTTTCCTCGCGGCAGTGCGTTCTCTCGCGTCTCGCTTTTCCACTCGAACGTGTTTCGCGCAAAATATGCACGCAACACACGGCCGCTCACCGCCAGAAATTCTCGTTGCTCGACGATCATTAACGACTCGACGGAGTCGTGAGCGAGCCGCTCGGCTGCAGCGCACGCCACGCTGCTCTCTTCATTCGGATTCACACGGCCTCACTTCTATCCGCCGCCGTCCGTTTCAACGTGAGACCGTCCGAATACTGAATTACATTCAGCCCCAGTGTCATTTCCCAAGTTGAAACACTGCCCCGATTCACTCAACTTTTTAACGAAACCTCCTTCCGAAGCGGAACGCGCGCTGCTCGAGCTTGCTCGTCCGAAGGGAATTGCCGCTTTCGTATTTAAAAGTCGAATTCCACCCACGTGTTTGTTTTGTCGATAAAATTCCAACACGCGGTACATTTGCGGAAGATTTTTCTATGATACGCGTTCGAGCTTCAAAAGTTTTGTCTATCGGACGCCGCAATGTAGGGAAAAATAGGCTAACATTATTGTTTTTTTTTAAAAAAACAAGAACTTTGATACGTAACTGAATTGTGGTATGATATTCTGGAGTGGATATCCTACGATATTATGTGACAAGTTTCATTACATGTTTCGTGCAGACAGAGTTTAAAAATTTCAGAATTTGAGGAGTTTCAATGTTCTGTGAGTGAAATGATTGGTTTTTCCTTAGTATTTTCTAGTCTTTATAGAGTATTTTGACGCTTTCTTCACCTTTTTTTATTTCACACTAGTATAAATATTTAATGTACAAATATTTAGTATTTGTATAATTATTTTCAAAGTATCAATATTTAATGGTTAGTAAATGGCTATAGAACAAGCGACGAGTATTTTATTTGCGATTTTTTCGTTTTTATTAATTACGATAGAAATAATTCTAACTTTTTATAAGGTGCGGTAACTAGTAAAATCTTATAAAAAAATTAACATAATATTACAAGCCAAATATAACAGAATTTTATATTTGTTAAAATATAAAATTAACTTTATATTTGTTAAAATGGCTGAAAGTAATTGTTTTTACTAATAAAAATAAAACTTTTATAACCGTATTGCATTTTATACGTCTTTTAATAGGTTTTACCCCCACAGGGGGTGCGTTTTGTATATTTCTAGAAAATTTTATTTTCCCGCGTTTGTTTTATATACAATTTCTTCCAAACAAGTTTGGTCACTTTCTTATTGCACAAGGTCCAATTAAAAGATCTAGATCTTTGTACGAATATTTTTTTTGTCACGAAGTTAAATACATTAGGTTACCCGAGTTTACCCTATTTTCCCCCCTGTTTATTAGTCGGATATCGAAGCGCGGGTTCGCTTACTTTTCTGATCGAGAAGTTTTTATTAGTCTCCTGCGAATCTGGCGCGTATCGAAGAAATTCGATAAGCACGGAGGACTCGACTTCCGGTCTCGTGTCCCTCGTAATTTCCGTCCGAGGATTCCGCAGACTCTTTGCGCGCTCTTGGAAAATCGATAGTCTCCGATCAAAAAAAAAAAAAAAAAAAAAAAACATTTAGAAATGAAGAAGAGAACGAACGAAGTCGTGGATAAACCGAGTGTAGATTTAGCCTTCGGAGAGATCGGTTCGATAAACGTTTACGACGGTGTCGCCAGGAGGGTCGTGTCCCTCTGCGCTTCGTAATTTCCGCTCGAAACTTTCCGCTCCACCCTGGTGTTTCGTGTCGAATCTCTCGGACCAGCGGTGATAATCACAAATCACGGGAATTAAGATTAAGATTAACAGCTTGGCCTCGTGGTCCTCGCCTCTATTTGATCGGTATTACCAATCGGTAGTCTGTTTGAACAGGTGCATCGTGTCCGCAGACTTTTGCGTAATACGTTCGCCACTCCGAAGAGTAAATCGACAACCGTAGTAAATATCACGCGCTGAATCGTAAGGACAAGATTGATTACTCGAACGATTAACTGCGATTGAAAGATTGAAGTACAGGGTGGAAAGATAATTTTGTCCGTGACTATCATAGATGAATTCTGTATCTTCGATTTGATGGAAAAAACGTGTAAAGAATCTGTAAAGTTGATCTTGAATTTGAAAGGTTAAGAATTTTTTGATGGGCCAATCACTTCCTACTAAAATAAATAAATAAATATATAATAAAAGTAATTTTTTAATTATATACTTATTATATTTGTATAATATTATATTATATATTTATAAATATTATATTCATATATTTATATAATATTGTATTATATATTTATACATTTATATATATTTATTATATATTTTAAAAAAATATTTTTTTACAGATTGAAGTACATTGACTTAAGTTCATGTTTGGGCTCAAGTTTAATTTAAGATTAACAAAAGGTTTTCTCTCAAATTTTGATTTTGTTTCATTAAAAAAAAAAAAAAAAAAAAAAAAAGAAAAATAGGCGGCAATACATATTACACAGGCAAATAAAATTATTTTCCATATTACGTTCTAATATTGCATTAATCCCTTCACGCCGTTGTTGCAACGAAACAAATTCAGAAGCATCGACGTTCACTCGAGTTATACGTTTCTACTAATCTTGGTATCGATCACTATCGGCAAAGTTGTTAGTCATCGATGGCATTCACCGTGTGCTAATAAAATCGAGCACGTTTCTTCGCTTCTCTTCTAATAAAGATCGACAAGCTCTCTATCCTTTTCGGTTTCTCGTTCCAAGTTTTATTAAGCGAACAGCTATCCTGGAGGAGCGTTGCGTTCGCAGCTGCGAGCGCGACTCAGCAAGGGGAAAGGTTATTGAATTAGCTGGGAGAATGCGAGCCGTCGTGCAGCCTCCGCGATAAGCGCGCGATTGCAGGTCACAGCCGCGGTAATGCAATGGCCGGCAGGAGCGCGAGACATCCTTGCGACGCGAGAAAGGAACGCGTCCAATCTGAACCCGGCCAGAGCGAACCTTTCAACTCGAATTGTTCCCTGCTTTCTCTTTCCCGTTGCCTCTACTCCGTCCTTATCCGTGTTGCACCGTGGCGTTTATCGATTTCTTCTACGATTTAAACTTTCGAGCGTTTCACCTCACTTTCGGGGGAAAAAAATGTAAAGCACTCGCGTGCTTGATTATTTTTATATTTGGGCGAGACGAGTGCATTTGCTGCATCGCAAGATTGAAAGAGATTACGACGGAACGTCGAGATTTTCTTTTGTCGTTGCTTCTTTTTTTTTCAATCGTGTTTTATGTTGCGAATATTTTATTTATTTTTCAAATTATTTATTTGTTTGTATTCTTTTTTATTTTATTTATTCATCGTTATTATTTTAGTGTTATTTTGTGTAATTACAATTGATAACAGTTATCTTTTCTGTCCTAAAGTGTGTTAAAATTACGAATGTGTTTTTTGCTTTATCTAAGTTTTACTCTAATCGCAATTCTATTTAAACGCAAATTTTTTTTTTTACTACATAATTCTTTCTTCTTGTTATTTTTTCAAAAATCATGTTTTATTATGAATATTTTATTTACGCAAGCATTTCTAATAAAATTGTTAGTTTGTAAAAAATTATATGTAATTACAATTGATAACAGTTTTCTTTTCTGTCCTGACGTGTCCTAAAGTGTGTTAAAGTTACGAATGTGATTTTTGTTTTATCTAAATTTTACTCTAATCGCAATTCTATTTAAACGCAAATTTTTTTTTTACTACATAATTCTTTCTTCCTGTTATTTTTTCAAAAATAATGTTTTATTATGAATATTTTATTTACGCAAGCATTTCTAATAAATTTGTTAGTTTGTAAAAAATTATACGTAATTGCAACTAGTAACACTTTTCTTTTCTGTCCTAAAGTGTGTTAAAGTTGCAGAATGTGCTTTTATCTAAATTTTTTTTTTTTTTTTTTACTACACAAGTGCGCTCCTGTGGTTAAACAAAAAAGAAAAG